TTGAAAACAGTCTTTAGATCTATTCGAGGTCTTTCAGGGGGGGGGGGGGGCCCCCCCCTTACAAATCAGAGGTGGACATTATATATATAATTACAGGTTGTCGCGACTTCAAGTTGCCAACAAGTTCTGAAGTGGATGGAAGCTTCAACGCTTCTCCTGAATGTGCGATGTGTCGTCTCAAAGTATCGGCATTATGTCCACCGCAGCCAACAGTGTCCTTTGGAAAACCGTGCAAGGGGTTGATTTAGTACCTGTTTTTTCTATATGCCCATTGCACGGTTTGTTCCTAATAGCTTCTTGTTACTAGTAGTAAGAATGCTCCTAGTAGTACGGTCAGGAGCCCGTAGTAGCGTCCTTTGCTCCTAGTAGCGATGCCCTTTGTTCCTAATAGCTTCTTGTTCATTTTGGGGGCTCCCCTTCCCAATCTCGGTCTTGGGAGTCTTCAACTGCGTTCCGAACATGCCGGCCACCGACCGTCGAATCATGATGGGAACGTCGTCGCGGTCGGGAGGCTGGTCGGGATGTTCCCACCAATTGTACGACGTTGGCCCCGTGCGCGCGATGATCTCCTCAGGCGACGATCGCCGCAGGGCCCAACTGATCGCCCGCTGAGTTACTGTGAAGACTCAGTCCAAAGAGACTTCTTGAAGCCGACTCAATGACTTAACTCCTAATATAGTATATATTCATCCAACTACACCTGTTCGAGCTGTGGAGGTGCTTCTATTTGGATCGCCCTCGCCTGATCTGGGCGGCTGGAGGCTTTCTCGCCTCTTTGATTGGTCCAGGCCGACGGCACTGAGCTCTGGAGGCTCAGAAGCGGAATATGAAGGGCTGAAAGAGGATCAGTTGGGTCTATCCTAATATTAGGTACCAGGCCTCGCTCAAAAATCCAATATAGTGATTTGCTTGTTTACGGGTCCTGTTGCAGGTCAAAACGGACAGGCTGAAAGAGGATCAGTTCTGACCTTCTGATCCTTCTGACACTCCTTCGGACCATCCATGGGACTGGAAGTCGCTGCGGGAGAAACACTGGGATCATGCTATGGATGATCTGGGCACCTCCGGCCATGGTCTGGAGAAAGACAGGGCTGCCCACGTAGGTAAAGTAGGCGGTTCCCAAAGAAACATGCGTGAAGAAGAACACATGCGATGGATGCACTTCGGAAACCTATGGGTGGGGCTGCTTACTGCTCCACGCCCTTCGTCTGAACCAACGTGAAAAAACGACCAGACGGGGCCATCGGGTTACTCGGCACCACCACGGTGGGAACCCACAAAGCTCAACAGCCTGACGAGCGACTGTGACGAGTCACAAGCCTGGTAGCTTTAATAGGACACGATACTCACTCGTCCGCCCCTGCCAGGTTTCCTTGGCTTCTGTCCAGGTCATCATCTCAGCCACGTCCACGTTCTGCGCCGGTGCGGCGATCAAAACGTAGCGAGGCTATATTCAACACTCAAAAAGAATAGAAGTTTGAACCACCGCCAGCACTATAGTTGCTTCCACCACAGAACGTTTCGTCCAGTTTCAAGTTTCGTGGTCTGCTGCATATCAGGTTGTAACCCATCAGCGGCCAGCTGGCACCTCGAATGGAATATGGCACACATCAATCTCTTGGAGCGGTTCCGCTGAGACTTCCACACTGCTCTGTCTGGGACAAAGTGAAAGTACACACATTCATTGTAGACGATATGGGTCCCATTACGGGTTCTACCATGTTCTACCTCTGTCTATTGTTGGCCAAGTGGAGCTATAGTCTATTGTCTCATAATGTTTAATGTATTGCGTGTGTGTGTGTGTGTCACACCCTGTTCCTAAGGGTTTTCCAATCGCTCCCACTTTCCACAAAAGCAGGGGGCGACAGAGTCGCTGCATGGCTGTCGCCAACGAAGCTCCATGCAGTTGACTAGGATATCACGGCTGATCACCGTGACGTACCTGCAACCAAAACCTTTGACCACGCTGTCTAATCTGCTTGGTTTGTTTCCATGGTTTTTCATGATACCTTCCCCCTAAACCATTTCCTCCCCAGCAGAGGTGCAGCTTGAGCCGCTTCGTCACCGCAGTCAAGGGAAACAACCTTTGTTCAAACACCTACAATTGCACGGGCTTTTCGCCATGCTGTTCCATCGCCATCCTTCCCATCGTGGCAATTGAGTCTAACTGAAAACCAATGTTTAACGGAACTTTGAGCCGCCGGGCTATAAACGATGGAATCCACTCAACCACAGAATCCAGAGCCGCCGGGCTATAAAACGGTACTCCACCCGCAATCAAGCAGGTTTCCCGACCCCCCTCCCCAACCGAGTTCTACTCCCCACCTAATTAGGGCAACATAGGGAAATGGCACTCGATGCACTTGTGTGTCGGTACCTTTCCCTGTGTTGTTCCTGTTCTAGTCTTCTCTACCCGGGCGGTTTAAGACTAAAGTCCCGCTCCCTAACTACTGCATTTAATTCGTTTCCGCTAAGTATTCAGTAATTCTAGAGGGCTAAGTATTCATACACACACACACGGACACACACATGGACATACACCCCCCTCCCTGCCCCCCCCTTTCCTTCTTGCGCTTTTCTTCGTTTGTTGGGCTTTCTCTCAGGCTTTTTAGGTCGCTCTTGAGGCTTGTTTCCCTACCCCAGTCAAGGGCTAAGTATTCACTTTTTCTACACCTACCTTTCTTTCTTGCCCTCTTAGCGCTGCTCTTTCTGTCTTTCTTTCCTTTCGTTTCTAAGGCTTTTTAGGTGTCTATTTAGGCCTCCCACACGAGCGCCGCGGAGCGGCACCGTGTGTGTGTCACACCCTGTTCCTAAGGGTTTTCCAATCGCTCCCACTTTCCACACAAGCAGGGGGCGACAGAGTCGCTGCATGGCTGTCGCCAACGAAGCTCCATGCAGTTGACTAGGATATCACGGCTGATCACCGTGACGTACCTGCAACCAAAACCTTTGACCACGCTGTCTAATCTGCTTGGTTTGTTTCCATGGTTTTTCATGATACCTTCCCCCTAAACCAGTTCCTCCCCAGCAGAGGTGCAGCTTGAGCCGCTTCGTCACCGCAGTCAAGGGAAACAACCTTTGTTCAAACACCTACAATTGCACGGACTTTTCGCCATGCTGTTCCATCGCCATCCTTCCCATCGTGGCAATTGAGTCTAACTGAAAACCAATGTCGAAGTGTTCCGCTTTCATTGCTTTGTTGCTTGAGATTTGCCAGCCTCATGTTGAAAAAAGAAAAACTTTTCAGCAGGTTCTCTGACACTTGTAGGTTTTGGCCTAGTGCCAAAGGACAAACAAAGGCAAACACATTCAGGTGATTGGCCTTTTCTTCCCACGCACGGTTCCCACGGTTTTCTTGGGGCTTCGGCTTCTCTGTGCCTTGGCTTTGGAACCCAAGGACTGCAAAGTGCCGTCCAGGTCATCACCTCCGGTCTTCATGGCTTCCACGACCTCGCTATCCTGGCTGTTGAGCATAGTTGAGTGCATGTCCACCAGAAGGGGCGGTTTGTGGTCCCCAAGTGAGTGGGATAATGGGGACCCCTATCCTCCAATAGGCACCCCTTTGCGACTCCTGGTGCTTGTGTTATATTTGTCTGGTTGGTGGAGATTACTATATAGTGGGGTCAATCATCTCAAAATTGTTATTTTTATTGTATATATATACATATCAAACCACCACCCAGTTGTCCTCGGTGCGAGACTCAAAACTCGCAGGGGGCATTCTGGGAGTTCAGGGTGCACCATGTGAGCAGCGGACAAAATTACTTGTGTAGCCAAATACCATTTGACATGATTATCGTTTTTGGTGGGGTCCATATCGTTCTCCAATGTTTCTCCAAACCGCAGTTAGCATAGCATACCGGCACATAGACTAAAACATAAAATATAACTCACAACCTCAGATTAGAGTCTTAGAGGCTTACAGTGCTTTCTGCACAGGAATGGGTTCTTGTGGCACTGGGCTGTGCAAGGATCACAACACATAAGCGGGGACCTAGTAGCTCGGCCCATGAACAAACACTAGTTACTAGTAATGTGGAGAAGTAGGTCTACGGAGTGACTGGCGCGACATTTAGGTTATCGTTTGCTTATCGTTTGGATTATCGTTTGGGAAGTTGTCTGGGGTTATCATTGGTGAAAAGTTGTGCCCATCGGTTTAGCTAATATGCTCAAATAAACATGCAAATGCAAATGCAATAACATATTGTAACCACAAACGTCTTTGTATCCACTACAGTACGTCTTAACAAGATTATCGTTTTTGGTGGGGACCATATCGTTTTCCACAGAAACGAAGCCCTCAACATAGGTTTAGGGTCATGCCGTGACTAAATAAGTCAACCAATAATTTTGTCCGTCGTTCATGTAACAACTGATTCAGTGTTGCAAACATGAGACCAATTGAAGACGTCTACTTACTTCCGCACAATGCAAGATGGACCTCCTCATACTGCTCATGAAATTGTAGAGAAACATCGTCCGTGGAAATCATCAGGAGAAAGGCCCTGAAAGCATCGCAATAGGAACACCACAACGCACGACAACGCATGAACCCTTTGGATAGCTTTGACTCCAAGTGAAAAAACTCTTGAACCCCCCAACCCGCCGGCCCGGATGGCCGCCGGCCCGGGTGGCCGGTGTGCCTGTTTTTTTCGAGAAGCACAGCACAGCTGCCAAAGGGCTGACAAAAAGGCACCGAACCTCGAGCAAAGGGATGCATGGAGGGGTGCCAGGGGCAGCTCTGAAGACCTGTGAAGCGAAGCCTTGCGACCACCAGGGCCTTGCAACGTCCACCTGTTGGGAGTTCGGAGCTCGTTCACAGAACTCCACTGAATGAGAAAAGGCACAAAAACCACCTGGCAGCGTCGGTGGAGGGAACTCCTAGGAGCCCTCCAAATGATCGACTTGATATGCTGACCTTACTGGAGATTCATTCCAAGCACTTCTGTGATACAAGTACTCTCTCTATCTCTCTGGCGGGCATGACCCGTCCCGGAGTCGTAGACCTGATACAAGTACTGTTGATAGAACATATTTGCAAGACTTAACAATGCTTCTCCCACCCGCGCTTTGACCTAACCCTTTTTCCGGGTCAGTTCTGTCAGCGCACCAAACCAGTTTTTGCAACTCTCCAACGGGTCAAAAGCGGTGATGATCGGTGGGCGCTGCTTAGCACAGTGGGCGCGTTGCTTGGTGCAACTAGGGCACGTGCCAGCAAAGATCATCTGCAGCCACCAGATGACCCAGAGGGAGAGCAACAGCGCAAAGAAGACCACGAACATCCAGGTACTCTCCTGCAGGTACTCCGTGATTCGGATGCTTTTGGAAGTGAAAGGGCGAGAGCCGGCCCCAAATGTGCCAAGCTCTGCAACACATGGGGGTTCATGCCCAATCAAGTCCCATCAAGCACACCGAAGATGACAGGCATGTGGAACCACCAAAGCAAGGATTAAGGATCCCATTAGAAGCTGCACGTCGTTGGATGCCCTAAAGTCCCAAAGTTTCCCTGGTTTGGACATCGAATCTGCTCTTAGCTTGAAAAAGGGGATGTGGCAGGAACACAAAAAATCACACAAACACACTTGAGAAGAAGCTCGTGAGAGCGTATTTCGAGTTGGTACCAGAGATGCATTAACTCTTTGCGATCTGGTAGCTATAGTCATTCGTGCAAGAATGACCTCAAGAACCTGGAAATGGCCATGTGCAAACGGAAAGGTGAGAAGCCCGGACCAATATATCGCCGCTGCGCCGCTAGAGGATCTCCTGGGTGAGTCGAGGCCACCAATCTCCTAAGGCTCCAGAGGCCTCTCCACCGTTCTGTTGGATCAACTCGCCTCACGGGACGGGAAAAGCGCATCTAACACCTACTCAGGGTTAAGGCCAAGCGAAGTGTTTCAAAACAAGTGCTGGGTTATGTCTGGGGTTTAAGGGCATCTTTTCCGCCCGGTGGCGCCAAGGTGAAGGAAACAAAGCAACTTCAAAGGTTCTGGAATGTTCTGAAAACGAGAGGAAACGAGGAAAAATGACTGTCACACCTACTGGTTCGGAAGACCACTGTTCAAGCACAGAACGGTGTTTCCAACTCTTGCTTGTGTGTGGGATCCTGTTTTGGAGTGAAAAAGGCTCTTTGATCATACAGGAACACTGTCCTTGAGGGTGCTCATGGACATGTATGGCCTCGCGAGGAACCATTCGTTATCAGTTGTGGGGCTGGATCAGCTGCTGCTCTTGGTGATCCCAGTCCAGGAAAGAGATTCAACCAGTCCAGGAAGAATACCCATGCCTTCTAATAAGATTCAACCAGTCCAAGCATATCCAGACATTGGAGTAGAAGACTAATGCCTTGCCAGGGCCCTCCCGCCCGTCCCCATCTCATTGGTCCAAGTAACCCAAATCACCCCCCAAGGGCTGCGAGGGGAAGACGCATGGCTGTCCGAACCTTAGCGCCCAGCATGCGTCGAGCACGGTCACCAACGCACTCCCAAAACGTCCTGGCGGCTCCAGCTCGTGTGACCCCAATTTCTCCAAGGGACTGGTGACAACATGAAAAACCAGTCAACCACCCTAATGTAGGTCAATATGGCAGTCCCATGTGTCGTGTCATGGAATGTCTGGATGATACTATCTCATGATCTGCTCCCATGCGGCTGAGAGGTGCTGGACGTTTGGGAAGGACCTGAACCGAACCGAACTCACTCGATTTTTATCAATGGCGCATGGCGGCGGCGCCCCAAAAACACCGTTTTGCTATAGAGTGTAGATGGCACAATCCCCAACACCTGGTTGATAATGGTTTGTCCGGACCCCCATGTAAAGGACATCTTAGCATGCCAGTGCCATCTACTCTGAAACCACTGTCACCGAGCCAGGTCAGTTGGGTCGTAACGATGCGAGCAGTTTGGGTCGGTGGAAGAGGTCTGGCACGGTCGGATCGGTTTTCTTTTTTTTTGCGTTGGTTGGGTCTATCCTATTGCCTGTAACCGTGGATGATGGTTAGTAAAGGCCTTGTCCAAACATGATGATAATTGTTTACTGACTGTTGCAGGTAATAGGACAGACCCAATTCGTTGGTATAGACAGACCAAACGTCTGTTTTGTTCGATGGCAAATGACCGGCCCACAACTCACTGAACGGAGTTAGACTGAATCCCGAACAATGGGATCTTGGACTTGAATCTGTGTGCTGAACATCTACAGAATCCAGAACCCTGGAGTTTCTGTAAACATTCATCACGGTTCCCAACACTAGCAATTACAGTATAAGAACTAAAAAAGAAGACAGCTGGAGAGCCCATGCTCGTACCCTTTCCATCTCAGACGCATGATGATGGCGAAGATGCAATGCAAAGCAACCGCGTACAACCTCAGTTCCAGCTCAACTGCCGAATCCTGCTGAACGCGAAGCAATGCCGTACTAATCAGTACAAATATCAGTACTAATTCTAATCATCAAAGGAGTTGTTCATGATGCTCCGATGACTGCCCGACTCCGCGAAGGTTCGCTAGGAACTTGGTTCGTGGGCTTTTTCTCAGCCACACATCCACCACCCCAAAGAGCCAATGGACGGGATGTTTAGGATAGAAACTCCTCCTCCAGCATCAGCCATTACATGCCATGACCCAATTCAACAAGTCACCAATCCTGTTGGACACCTGAAGGTTGGTTGGAACTCCTCTGCAACTTGTAATTTCACCAAATTTAACCTAATGCAGACCGTTGATCTGGCAGGGTCAAAACATCCTTCCGGTCCTCCATGTGTTTCGTTGTGCTTCAATTCACCCAGCCCAGACTACATCTTTGCACATATACGTATAGTAAAACAACTTTTTACACACAAATATATATATATATAACACACACATATATATATATATGTATATACACATTACAATATATGATACATATCCGGTCCTCGGCCTTTTTCTCAGGCACACAGTACCTCGTTCCATACCGAGGGGCATCGCTTCGCTGGATTCCTGTGCCAACAAGGCGTCGTACTGCGGAGGCCGTTTGGAGTACCACAACAAGGAGATCTTGTCGGCCCAGTACCTCGAGGGACGGCACTACTAGTCGTCCCCGCGCGCGTGCCAGCGTGGAAAGCACGGCCGAGGAAGGCCAGAGCTTGGTGGAGCAGCAGGCTTGCGCAGCTGCTTGGGCAACGTGCGCTGGTGAAGTGGAGTGGGATTGCAGGTTGGAGATGCATTGGCCTATTGAAGTCAATGGATAGTTGAGTGGATGCACCACTGACAAGAAGATTCCAAAGGCCACACAGGCCTGTTGGGTTTTCCACTTCCAGGTGGTGTGATGTTGGAGTCCCGTGCGGTGTGCGCTTATGTGCTTTTGCTATCGAGGGGGATTGAGGCGATGGCATTGGGAACCCAAAGAAGGTTCACCCGGGCAGCTGGAGGTGCTGGAAAAAGAACTCCGAGGCTGCATGAAGTGGGCAGTTATGTTGCATGTGACTGACTACATCCAATGGATCCCATGGATGGAGCAAGCAGCATGAAGCAACCATATCCCTGTCCATTCGACGAAGTCGATGGTTGAGACAGGCCCCTAAGGTACTACTAAGGTCTTGGTGAAGTTCACAGAAATCACAACTCCAACACATTGGTGTCGCTTGTGAGACAAATTGTATGATACATGGAAATATTGGCTGGTTTGCTAGTGAGAAATGTACAGGTTTGGGTTCCGAGGGCATACGATTTCAACATAATTCGTCTGGAGTGACACTGACACATCGTCTTTTTTGCATTGCGCTGTTTCTGGGCCGCGCGACATTAGCCCCATGTAGCCAAAGGCAAAGAGGTAGAGCAATGGCATGCCAGAGGAATAGGTGAGGGTCACAAAGCAGGTTGTCAGTAGCTGGGCATACCTCGGCGCTTTTTGAGTTTTCTGCTCAAAAAGAAATGGTGGGGAGCCTGAAGCGAATGACCATGTGAACCCATTAAACTTCTCCCAGAAGGACTGTACCGGATTTTCTGACTCTAGATGACTTTAGACCCCCAAAGATGAACATATGGGGCCCCCAGATGTTGGATCTGACACCAGCATGATCAGGCACGTTCGGAGGGAACTGGAAGACTTTGAGGGTCAGTGGAGGTCCCAACATGTTCTCACGCTCTTTCGATCGTGCGAATGACCATGCAGGTTCCGTCGCGTTCAGTGCCGAACGCGACCATGTCAAAGCACGGCGGCGGCGGGCTTTCCGACGGGTTCCAAAACACCTGCCATGGAAAAGCATGGAAAAGCATACCAAACCCGTGGCGGGGTGGACCTTGCAGTTTTGGCCATCAATCTTTGAGCAAGTGCTTAGCATTAAGAGACTTGCTGAGCATTCAGGGACTTGCTGCCAGTGGAAAAATCGCACGTATACCCACAACTCTTGACACCTTTGCTTCCTCATGGTTCCAAAGGTCACAGACTGACTACGGTGCCGCGGAGCCTAGTCTCTGGGGGAGGCACCGAGGCACCCTGTGCCTTCCGAACCAAGGGGGTACCTGTCGTACCTTCCGACGCCGAGGTGCTTCGCTTTGATGTCGAAGTCGGGATTGGTGTAGATCCTGGGGCGGCACACGGAGAGCCCGGTTCGGGAATTCGTGTGCGGCCTGGTTCGCCTCTTTGCGAAAAACACTCATGGGTATTCATGGGTCATTGGATGTGATTGGATAGAAAATGGTGTGAGGTTCATAGTCAGGAATTGTAAAAAGAATCGATCGACCACCAATCCTGGGTGGTGCGGAAAAAGGTGGTTTCCCATGTTTCGGCACTCTCCGGTCTGAAAGGGCTGGCTGGGGTCTCCCTTCTTACAGACCTGTGCAGGGAATGAACTTGGTGGTGTGTTCAAACACTGCCCAGCAATCTGAGTCGTACTTGCCATGGTTTTCACTGGCAGATCTGGTAGAATCCACAGATCGTCAAGAACTGAACCCTTCAGAACTTCATCTGACTATATAATATATATATATGCTTTAGGATGCCCCGAGCCCATCCAAACCCTGCAACATCCTGCAACTCTCACGCTGGGCTCCCTGACTGTATCAGCTCCGAGTGGTGCTTCACGCGACCTGCGAGCGACTCATGTGAGGCGCAAGTGCCCGGTGATTCCGCAGCACTGAAAGCTATCCGCTACGCGGTACGCCTGCAGTCCTCTGCAGCATGCTTTTGGGCTAAAGAATGTGGCTTCTTTTGTCAAACCCATCAGGCCTCCCCAAGAGGTGGTTGGCAAAGGAAACATCATCGGTTTGACGGGTTCACTTCAGGTGGGAAAAACGGCAAAATGCCCTGTTCCAACCCAACTGTTTTTAAGATAGGGCTGGTGCCTTGAGAAAGGTGAGGGTCTTTCAAAGAAGGTAGAGGTATGTAGGGCAATGACCGGGCAATGGATGTGGTCAACGTGCTCTTCGTTTCCTGGGATGTGCCCGGATTTGCTAAAGAAACCCGGAAAACGAGCAAAAAAGACACAACACATATTCCCCAGAAGGGAATTTCACACTACACAAAGCAAAAGCCGTCTCTTACCGTTGAATTCATCTGTTTTCATTGTTGGGACCTCGCGCATCCTTGCAGTCAATTGGGGGTCCGGGCTTCGACAACAACATCGCATGAACTTGGTCACAAAGATCATCCTCAGGCGGCGACTGGTGGCGACAGTGGTGTTGTCTCACGCGTTGTTTGGGGAAAAAGAAAGAAGCTCCGATCTGGTTTCTTATTAGCACAATCTAACAGCGCACTTGAGGTCGGGGATTATCAAACGAGATAAAAACGATACTCTACATCTTATTGTTTTTATATGTGTGTATATTTTTGTTATGTTCTTTCTCTCCCTCCCTCCCTCCCTCCCTCTCTCTCTAAATCTCTCTCTCTCTCTATCTCTCTCTCTCGCTCTGTCTCCCTCTGTCTCTGGATCGTCTTTCGACCGAAGCCCACCCCAGCCGAGCATGTAGTCCAGTGGTCTATTGGGAAGTGTCAGCTTGTCCAACTCCTGCAGGTCTGCCTATCTTTCACAGTGAACGTCACAGTGGCCCTGAGTGGAGAAGATCTTGGTGCCGAGTCCATCTACTTCTGCATGTCACAAGAGGGGTGAAAAGCAAGGAGAGGTTTCCAGGCTAGCGATGAAACCCAGGTTCAGCGAGTTGCCTACCTGCTGATCACTGGATCTTCTTTGCCCCAGGTGCAATGCATGGGAAACATGCAGCCCTACAGTTAAGGATGGAAGAAAAACAGGCCCAACACAACCTGAAATGAGGAACACAATTGATGGTCTTTGCTTTTCTTCTAGGACTTCCAGGTCTAGGGTTTGTTGGTTTTCCTCCATGATCGATGGGCCTGGTTGGACTCAAACAACCGCTGACGCCCAAGCGTCGCGATGGTGATCGAAGGAGGTGTGACCTCACTTTTGTGCGCGAGAGCGAGTGGAGGCTGGGAAGCTGCCCGAAAGAGGCTGAAGAACATCCTTCTGTCACCTGAAAGGGGGTGCTTTCCAGTCAACTCGAGAGGACACTTGACACTCAAGGAGGAAAGTGAAACCTGCAGGTGAAACAAGGACCAAAGAACTACCACTGGATTCTCTACCCGCCAGTGTGCAATGCTGGACTTGGAATCCTGGTTGGCGCCCACTGCCCACACCCATTAAGCCGTGGCCCAGGCGGTTTGATGTCCGTTTCATGTTGCTGGGGATTTTGGCCAAATCCGTTGCGCTGAAGAAACCACCGCACGGATCCGCACGATGCACCAAAAAATGCTAGAAGCATCTTTTGAATCAAGGTGCCATGTTCAGCAACATGTTGGTCATAATCGTTGCACCCACGACGACATACCTGGTGGTCAAGACGGAGAAGAAAGCGAGGAGACCAATCTTGGGTCTACAAGTCTACAACCTCGGAAAGGGAGGCAGCGGACACCTGGCTATTGAGTCTATGTGCGCGATGGAGTTGCAAATCAAGGGAACCTGTTTCACCAGTGTTCACCAACCATGACTTTGGGTGGCCTTGCACTTGGATGAAACTACTAAACCTGGTTATACGGCTGGGTGGTTCTCCCCCCAAAGGGGTGAAGACATGGTGGATATACCAGAAAATGCATCATAAATACGGGGAACCATATGGAACCATATGAAACCATATTCGATGAGGGATGATCATACACCTGACATAATACCTAAGCCCAATCCCACACGACCAGTTTTAAAAGCGTTCTTGCTTGGAATATCTTGAAATGTCATTGAGACAGGCACAATAAAGGGAGCACAGTTGAGTTCACGCCCCGTTGTAGTGGACTTTGTCTCTCTCTCTCTCTCTCACCCCTTTCAACTAACCTTTATGTCCTCATGTTGTAGGGAAGCCAGTCCCAATGCCATACTTGCAGGTTTGCCAAAGTCCTTAGGTTTCGATCACAGCCCAGCTGCCAGGCGCGAGTCAAATCCTCAAAGGGCCCTCGCAGGAGCAAATTACCCAAGCCAGGGATCAAAGACACAAAGTCTCTCCTCAGATGGGGGCAGGAGAGACATAGAGAGGCCACATCTGGTGGTAGGCTGCGGTCGGCTTGACACCAGGCCACATCCTAATGAGATCGACTCCTAGATACTCCTAGTCTCACCAAGCTCTGGAGATGTGCAACATCAGCTGGATCAAGTGATGTTCATGGTGTCTTGAACAACACCATCCGCGGCCCCCCTTCTTCCCAGCTCGAACCACCTCTGGTTCCAGGGGTGTAGCAACATCGCAGATTCAACTGGTGGAGTCGGTGGTGATTCCGTGATTCCTTCACTGTCTTGCCTGACTCCTCAGTTTCCCTGGAACCTCCACCTCTTTGTAACCCTTTTGTCCACCTATTCTTGTTGATTGGGGCTGCTGGAGGTCCAAGGTCCGAACCCCAGAATTCGAAGAATATTCACTCTATAGACTTCGTAGCGTTTACAGGTAGCTGGAGATGGTTTAGCCTTGCGTTGCCGCTTCACGATTCAGAAGTGTTTTGAGATAAGAAACGCATGTGCGCCGTGCTGTCATGACTGGAAAAAAACCAACAAAAGATTAAGGACACAGCCTAAGTTTCATCCACAATACTAAGCGCTACTAGCCGCCTTCTATAAGCCCTTTTGCTAGCCCCTCAGCAAAGCTTTGTTTGGTCCATCTATCTCTGCTGATGTTGTTTTGTTCATCTCCTTCAATTTTTTGCCAAGAAGAAAATAGTGTTGAGCAGCCATTCCTCTTATATATGGATGTTCATTAATTACTTCTATTGCCCTTCCGGAACGCTAATTATACAACTCCCAAAAACAACCTTTGCTCATGCTGGGTTATTGCTTGTTGGCTCATGCATCTGGTAGTTGGCAAATCTGGTGGAACGATCCAAATCATTTGGATGATGCTTCCACATTGAGCCTGCATGGGGGGGGTGATTGGTCCGATGAAAAGATTAAGCGTCATTCTGGGTGTGTTGGACAAACAAATTCACGAAGTCATGATCGGTCATTCTTGAACAAATAGCACATGCTCAAAACCGACACATGGCTCCCCCCCTCTCTCTCCACTCAACCCGTGTCCCTTTCACGTGACACGACCCCGCCAACGACCCCGCCAACTACTATATAATGACCAGTTCGGAATGGATGATGAGTTTAGGTCCTGCTCCTGGCTTCTCCCAAAGTCTCAAACAGCTCAGTCTTCCCAAACTTGACCAAAACCAAACGGAAGATTGAGCCGTTCCAGTTTGGGCGGCATCCTGCGGTCACTCCCTTTTCCTGCGATCTCTTGATCCAGCCGCCTGGCAATGAAAGTGTTCTGGGCGCGAGGGCGGGGGGCGACGTAGTTGAGATAAATTTGTTAGTTGCTTACTCAATGGTTCTTGCATCTCTAGAATTGCCGACCACTCTGCATTACATATATATATATATATCATATATACCACGTCCATGGTCTACACTCTTGGAGGACAAACTGGTTGTTTTTTTGATTCAGAAACATGTGGCTCCACATCGGTGCTTGACGGATTGTGGTGCTACTGGTGCTCTACTTCAGCCCCTCTCATGGCGCTAAGGTACCTCCTGAGGACGGGGTTGGAGCTTCGACTCGAGGGTATCGGCAGAAAGCGCTTCCCTTCCAAGGCTTCGGAAATGAAGCTTTGGCCAAGCAAACACGCTCCCTCTAAACGACCAAAGTACTTTTTGGGAAAGCACCGGTGAACAGAATACTGGAGTTTTTTGGTGACACGCGTTTCTGGACTGGGATGCCCAACCTTGGTGGTGGAGAAGCTAGTAAATGGTTTCTCTGTGAAATGACAATCCACCTGACCTTCAACAGCATGCAGCCAAAACAGGCTAGGACTCCACAATAATACTATAAAATGACATCCCACCAGAAAACGACACAAAGTGAACACCCTACAGAATGCCATGTTCAGGCCTTGGGCCCTTTTCAAAGCAAAGCCCGCTGTAACCCATTTGTCAGAAGTCACTTCGTGATTCTGTTTGGACTATCCTGACATGCAGTGACATACATAGTATAATTGCTATTATTAAATAATCTCACATATCTATATATATACACATAAAGAACACATATAAATGTGACCCTCGCAATGCCAATGGACCATCTCAATAAACTGTATTCTACGAGTACTTTCCAAGTCTTCTTTGTTTGGAGGGAGAGGTCTCTGATCCTCTCAGTTGCCCCTTAATGTCTCCTGATTACTCCAAGCTCCCCCACCTCTCATCTCGTGCTTCGGCGGCGGCGGCGGTCGAGAGAAGCCTCTGCGAGCGGTGCGAGGGAGCCTCAGTGGATCCGACCGAGGGGGAAACCCCCACGGGGGGTGGGCTTGGCGGCCGAATAAATACTGGTGGTAAGTCATCAAGTCAAACACCAAGCTAAGGTAAGAACAAGTACGCAAGAACCCTGGTTCAAATTCTTAGCCAACTGTTTCCTAGCACAGCCCTATGTCAACCACCGCTTCAAATGATATCGGACATGTGGGAGGATGAGTTTGTTCAAAAAGAAGGGCATTCAGGTCATGATTACACCTCATCAAATGGCCAATGGCGGCCAAGGAAAACCAACAAATGCGGACAATGGCCACTTACTTAACCTGATCCCCTGCTTTGTCCACCATCTCTTCTTTCGCAGATCCAAACGTATATAGGTAATACAAACGCATGTTGTGAGTAGAAGGCACAGACCCAGTTTTCCCACCAGTCTAAAGCAACAACCCTTGAAACTGGTTGAATCCAAGCATCACTCGAAGGCCTGGAGACAAAAACCAAGCACAAAGGTTCATTGCAGCACTCTCGGACGATTTGGTGTCAGCTGGTTTGAACCCACCCAGCTTTGGCATCATCCAGTGGAAAAAAGGGGGACCAACATGAACGTTTCACCGCCAACACTTCTAGAAGTGGGTGAGTTGGGCGATCCGTTTTGTGCCCTACGTGAGTCGGAGCGCAACACTCCAGGCACAGCAGGAACTCATCTACTAAGCAAGGACCCATGTAACATTGGTTAATGCGCTTGTTTGTTGCCATTGTGGTGGTCGTAAGATTCTGCCGATTCCTGAAGAACACAAGATAGGACATCGGTCATAAACACACAAAGAACCGAGTACTGTACATAAGAATCCACAGGATCATAGTTTTCTCGTGCTTGCTGCTTACTCATTATCTATCTACAGTTAAACCTCTAAGATCCTATAAATCCTCCAGGAATCCTCCTGTTTGATAAACGCTGTGAGTTGTCCATGCCTGAGAGGGCCTTTGCTGGGGGAGCTGCAGCATGTATCCTTGTTGACCCGTGCTCCATCTGCTTGGCGGGCACTTGGAAGAATCCCCCACTTGCTCTCACCTCAAAAAGTTAGGTAGTTGAAGGTGGCACCACACTTGAAAGTTTGCCAGAATCATCAACACCCAGCCTAGCCTTGAGGAGTTCACCCCACCCACTACTTCACACTCCTCCGTCAGTTCACCCCACCCCGCCTCCACCATTCCGGAGATCTGCCCAGGGCACGTCCAGCTGGGTGAGCAGCTCTTCCGCAGCACGACGCAGCGGCATGTTGGAGGCCCAGGTCTTGCGCGTGAGGCCCAAGCCGCAAATCAGCTCCAGGCCTTTCGAACAATCGATCAAACACCGGAGTCGCGGAGGTGGAGGTTACAGCGCCATGCCCAAATGCCCAGGTGGGTTGGTGTTGCGACATTTGGGGGATGCAAAGAGATATCAACCAAGCAACCGGAAAATCGTGTTGGCACATGTTGAGTCAGCCAATCTGAAAAAAAAACACCAGGATTTCCACCCAAGCGACCACTCGGGTGGCGCCCGCTCCAGTAGTTCTTCTCCCGGAGCCACCATGCAATCGCGATGTGCGCCGCACCCGGCGAGAGGTCATGGAGGTCCAAGACATGGGGCCCTTTGGCAAAAAGCCTCAAGTGCTGTGATTCAGGTGGCCAGAAAAAAACAAGGTACAAACAATAATTCTAACATATTCCAAACACATACCCACGCACGAACGAGCCACTCGAAACCGGGAGATCGAATGTGGTCTGACGCGTGAACCACACGGGTCCCACCAGGTGCTCAATGCACCGCTGACAACGGTGACCTCTGGAATCAGGACAGCACGGGTCTCTGGCAGAGTATGTGATTTGGGGGCGGAGACACAGACTAACAGTGACTAACATAGAACACACCCACTATTATATAAGGACTGATAACACAGCACATGGATTTGTGTTTCCTTTGATGTTAACTTTCACAGGCGTACCTCCGGCCGGCCGTAAGGGGGAACCATACCTTCTTGAGGTGTTGGGATCCGGGATGTCCAATAACACCCCTTGAGCTTTGTGCTGGGTTAGATTTCATTCGTGTTTCATTGAATGGTATTGAATGGACATGATGATGACTGATGATGGAAGGATCTGTGAAAATATGTCTTTTTTAAGTCTCAGCACCGATGAGAGCTTTGGTTGAACATCGGCACTTGTCCTGCATTCTGGTGCACCATTTCAAAACTAACCCAGAGATATATACCTATAGTCTGTTTTGTTCAATCCTGTTTGTCCCTGTCCATGCCTGTCTGCACCAATGCTTGTATCTAAGCAGAGTCTGAACAGCACGTGGGAATCTTTCCGCCCCACCGAGTGGCCATGGATAGACTTTGGCTTCCAAGGCTTCCAGGAAGATCGCCTGACGACGCTGACGGAAGAACGACATGTTCGGCGCTTCTGCACTTCCGCCTGGTCTCGGACGGATCGGTCCCAAATCCTCGGGTCAGGGGTCTGTTTCTCACCCAAACGTTTTGAGGGACCAAAAGCTGTTCGGAGCGTCTGGGAGCTTGATTTGGCAATCAGCAGTTCCAAAATGGAATTGTCTTTTTAGTCCCATCCAGTGAGTGGATGTTCTGGAGGGCCCCTATCCTCCGTCCGTTCGGCTCCCAACTCCATGGCGCCGCTGGTCCGTATGCTTGAGGGAGGCCTCCGCCAGGGGTGGATCCAGCGGCGCGTTCAGGAGCGCGTTGAAGCTCACTGCATCGGGCTGTAAGTGGGCGCCCAACAACTGGCCTGGGAACTTTCAGAGGTTCGATGGCACAGTTTCCCCCATGACAAACTTGCAATCAGCACTGCTGACAGCTCAAAGGAAAATATACAGTATGTCAATGTGATGTCCATGTTTATCCTGAAAGAGATGGGGGTCCAGTACTAAAGAACCATCTCAGAACCATTGGCCGAAGAAAAAACGACTTGTGCCATCGGCCCTGTATCTACGACGACGGCGTGACCGTTCACGGCACCACCGAAGCTCCCAAGCTTCAAAAGGGTGACCTGCAGGTGATCTGTGTATATAGGCATGGGTAGCTCTACCAGGAAACCCCCTTTTCGCAAAAATGGATGTGTATATATATATATAAGTGATATGATATATATATATATATACATCAATGTGGATTTGCAATGATTTGCATTCAACATCATTCAACACCTCTTCTTGGAGAGGGTTCTTCAGCAGATCCACTCACAGCGGGCCGTTCGGGGGTTCGGGGGGGGTCCGTCTGCTGGTCGTTGAGTCGTTCGGTTCTTTCAGGCGGAGCTGGTCGTTGAGTCGATGAGTTTGAGAGGTTATGAGTCAATGAGTCGATGAGTAGACTAAGACCAAGCAGACTGCAGTCCCACAAAACAGGACAATTCCTGTGAGCAGGATATGTGTGCCAAAGCCTCCAAACTTGCACCAAGCCAACAACCAAAAGGCTCTATTGAATGGCAAAGCTTCCCCCAGCCACCTGCAGCTCCAACACTTCCAAGAGGCTGAAGACCTCCAAGGCCACTCCCCAGGTGGGTCTTGCGCCTTTCGCGCAAGCCTCAATGCAGGCGTTGTAGCTTATCAGATCAGGCGATAAGGCCCAGCTAGACATCTCCTGGCGGTGCAAATGGACAGCGAGACACATGTGCCGAGTATAGACACATCTCTTGGGACGAATAACATCTCCTGAACGATGTAATTGCCTTGGAAAATGGAACAGGTGCCTTGGGCCATATAAACACAAATGCTTGTAACTTGTAACATCTTAGGGGCCCCATTTTCTGACGTCCGAGGTACAAGTGGGTCGACTCCAAATCAAGCCAACTTCACCAATCTTGTTTCAATTTCTGCAATTTACAGCGAGTGACATTTGCCTCTTCAAAAAAGGTAATTTCTCGACCAACTGGTATAGTTTGTTAACGTTTATCCCCACTTCCATGTGAGTGAGACAACGTGTTGGAAGAGCTTGGTGACTCCTTGAAAAGTTCCAACGCCCAAGGCCACTGCTGACCCTTTTCGCACGCGCTCATCGTGGCGTTGAAGGTGAAGTTACTGGGCTGCACCGCCTCGCTCGCACGTACGGCGAGCTCCGCGGCTCGCACGTCTTCGATCCTTTCCCAGCGGATGGGTATCCAAGAAGAAGGAACCACGGCTGGTCGGCCGGGCGGCATGATCGTTCCGCTTTTCTGCATTTCATGGGGATGACTTTTGGTGATAGGTATACTGTATAGCTTACCTACCAGCAAGATGAGAACTTGTAACCCAATCAGTGCAAGTCAGCAAGAGGTGTCAGAAGAATTCACCAGGGATCATGCTCCTAAACCGCCCCAAAGCGCGAAGCCTGCCAAACCCTTCTGGCATGAAGAGAAAAACACATTGAGTCTCGCGAGTTTGTCGAATTCTATACCTCGCGTCCTGAATCTAAGAGTTAGGACATGTTACTGTAGGAACACTGTAGGACCTTAGGACGTGTTTCCTTCGAAAGGAAGCGCTAAGGCGTGGACTCCCTGCTGACCTGGGACAATCCGGACGGCCCAACGATAGGACGGCAGAAAAGTCAAGCCAGGGAAAGGAGAGGTCTACATGGGCTCCTTTGGACTTGATTGGAGGTCACATCCCAGGCTTTTCTCCCAAATAGTCTAAAACACACTCTCCAATGCAAATTTCATCGGGCCTCAAGGCGGTCAGGATGGGGGGCAGGTCAAGGTAACATCAGAACCAAGGCCCCAAGGCCCCAAAGCGTTGACGTCGTGGTGCGGACTTTTCTCAGGTGGGCCAGCGAGAAATCGACCTGGACAATGAAGTGTACCAAGATCTGTACTGTTTCAATTGTCACTCAAGTGCTGACATATTGTTTTAATCAAATGTAGATCCTTTAGGAGTATGAAACCTAGGACCGGGAATTTCCGTGTTCTGCCCAGGTCCTTCCCACTCGTCCAGTTTGGCGTTTGGGTGTCTATTTTACTGGTTACGGTTTGTCCGGTTTGTTCCTTTTCGCCTCGTTGGGAAGAACCGTCAGCGACTTCGCGGCTTCGCCCTTTCGGAGGGGTGCAACAAGGAGAGCCGACTCACGACCTCAGTTTCCCTGGCACTGGTAAAATCATGTTTCATGAGGACACCAGGGCAACCACTGCCAATCAAAAGGTTAAAGGTTATCAAGGTACCCACTGGTAGGGAGAATAAGTGGCCTGTAGGTCGCCCCATGGCCTGGCCTTTCTTATTTCATGTGTGCGGCCTGCAGCACTCGCGCTCAGAATCGCGCAAAATTTTTCAGGTTCAGAGCCAAACAGGCGGTGACTGATTCAGAACTCCTCGTTCAATGATTGACCTGAAAACAAACCTCCGCAAGAGACGCAGGATCTGGGGATCTCCTCATGTAGACTGACATCGTCCCAGCGGAAGCTAAGCCTCAACCCTTTTCAGCCAGCAGGCTTTGGCGAAAGAGAGCCAGCGCGGCTGGCCACTGGGAGGCCTTCCCAAGAACGCTGAGAATGCTGCCTGGGCGCTGCTGGCCACACATTCCAAAAAAAATCCATACCAGGTAGGTAGAGGTATGGAGGTCGAAACTCCCCCGAAAAGCGTGTCGCACTGATTGGATCTGGGTTGCTGAGGGGAAAAGGGTGGAAATCAATCATTTATGGAAATCCCCCATCCTGGAGCCTCATTCGAGTCCTCATACACCTGGCGTCTCAAGCAGTCCCTACTCACCGAGCTGCAGTAGGCGACACCATCCCAGTCCCTTCGTCGACGACCTGCGGAGACAGGAGCAGGTCGGCTCAACAGAACAGCGGAAACGAAAAGCTTTTGGACATCTGTCTGCTTTGAATCCTTGGGGCGGATTACATACAATGATCATGATGATAACTATATATAGTTATACTACGTCTACGTAATTAAACTATATGGTACACTTAAGCTTAGACCTTCGGATTATAGATCTTGATTGGGATTCTTCGAATCCATCACATTTGGGAAGTAGCTTGGTCACCCAGTCTACCCCGGGCGGCGGTTTTGACGGTCTGGACGTGGAAATGCAAACCGATTGACGTCATGAGCACAAGACGTAAACGTCATGAGCTCTGTTTTCACAGATTGAACATATGATTGAACAGTTCAGGGCGCTGCTTGGGACACATCCTTACGTTCCCTTACGCCCTCCTAAAACAGATCCCGAAAGTGACCTGGGTCTGGTTGAACTAACTAGCACGCCCTGAATTCGTGCCCCTCTTCAAGTGGGCTTGACGGCTTGACGAACAGGGTGCCAGTGGAACGTGGATACTCGAAACCCTTGGAGACCTAGATCAACTGCCTCTTAAATCACCCCAGGCCTCATAACTGCTGGAGGTCATGAGCAAAATGGCTTGGCCATGTCCGGCTTCATCAAGAATTGAGTTTTTCTGGACTTCGGATGGGCGCCTTCGAAAATCTCCAGTGCGCAGGTCCATTGGACACCCTTCTCGCAGGCGCTCAGAGCCGCCGAGCAGGTGAGCAGATTGGGACGGATCTGCCTGAAGGCGACCGCCCAGCGCAGGGGGACATGAGTGACATAGACCACAGCGAAAAGGCATGGGATCTCAAGCAGTTACCTGTTCAAATGCTTGAAACGTTCACAAGGTTCTATAGTACGGGATCTTGGGAGCTCCATTCTTGTCATTCAAATCAGTTCAATTGTCAGTGGCGAGGTGCCAGTGCTCCATGTCGAAGAAGAGCTGAAGTGCATGCTCCCACCTACAACTGCCCATGGCAATCACAGCAACCATCCCCCAAAACTGAACACTTGATCATGGATCCTGGAAAACAAGAGGACGCGTGCTGACAGGGACGCTGTGACGGGGACGCTGTTTTGAACCCTGCTCGTCACGAAAATACCTTGGTAGACTCCCCAGCAAGGCAAATTTAAATAGATTGATAAATAAAATCAATGATCAAGAATCAAAAAGCAGGGCCCGACGTAGAAAGCCTTTCTCATCCTTTCTCCAAACCATGTCGCATTGGTGCACACTAGTCAATGTGCACCTGTTAATGAATAGGAATCATTCTTCCTGTTTCCGCCCGCTGGTCTTTGCAATATGTTCATATCCGTGCTCAACAACATGTGAACAGTTCCTTTGCAAAATCTTCAACCTAACATCCATGACATCCAGGTGCATCACGCATCCGCCAAGGAATCACAACACGGACGTGTGAGGACAGTTCTGGGGTGAGAAGAACAGAACTGATGCCTTTTCCTCTCTCCTATCTGTAGCACTGGGCCCCAGTCGATCGTTGTTGAGATTGCGTTTCCCAAAGCCAAGGAGCCCTTGCATGCTGCCAACCACTCCCCAGTTCTGCAGCCAGGCTTCTGCGCATGTCGGGTCAAAGCACTGATGGCACTCCCACAAAGCACCGTGTCCTTCACCGGAAGAAACATGTTGTCTTTGCGGTGGCTACGCGTCACATCGGAAGTGTCCTCGCCCAAACACTCCATGTCTGTCATTGACCCCTCTGGCACCACCCCAATGTGTACATACACTCTCTGAAAGAATCATGAACGTGGAAAAAAGGTCCCTGGAAGACAATTGTGCTCGACAAACAGGATGTGTTCCACTTCCATGTTCATGACTCGGAGAGTAAATCTGCCAGATCCCATGAATCTGGGACCCACGGAGTCTGTCTTCTTCCAGCCGCGCGTCCAATGGGGTCACGGCACCCCATCTCCCCGAGCGACCCGGCGACCCATCCGGGTGCTTCATGTAGACTCTTGATTCCCCCATTCGAAGAAATCCGCTTCATATGGGGGGTGATCAATCAAGTCTACATGTCACCCCCGCACCCCTTTCCGCCCGTGCCTTCTCGGATGCCTGCTCCAGAAGTTCGAGTGCCAAGGGCCAAGCTTGCTCAACGGCATTGATGCAGCTGCTCAGCGACACGCCGTCAGCAACCACACGCTGCCTGGGAAGGAAGCGCCCGGAAGCGCTTCCGGAAGCACAACGAAGGCTTTGTCAACTGTCCTGAGGTTGGACTACCTAGTGACCTGGTGGCAAACTGTTCCCAGCTAGATTTTGCAGCTGTTCACAGGCTGTGTCAGGGAACCTCTTCACACCCAAAGGGTCACGGAACATGAATCTGCAACGTCGGAGCCGAGGCTTGTGGCGCCGGTGTCGCAATCGATGCCACCCTAAGGGGCCGAACTCGCAATCTCTCTCATGTATTCTGTATGATGTTGATGTTCTGTGTCTTTTTGGCCTTGATCGCCTTGATTGACCTAAACCCATATATGATGATGCAGGGTTTCGGCTGACACCTTAGTGACTTCCGAGCAGGGACTTAGGGCAATGCCATTCGTTTCGCCCCACTTAGTCCTCCGTGACGGGTGAGAGATCAAAAAAATAACGGATCAATTAAAACATATTCTACACGCATCAATAAAAAAATACTGACTCAAAAAACATATTCCAATTTGCAGTAGCAGTAAGAGTAGCAACAGTACTATAATAGCAGCAGTATCGTAGTGGTAGTCGTAGTGTTTCGTGGCAGGTGCAGTACTTTTTGTGGACCTTGCAATGCACATTTCGTGGCAGGCGCAGGACTTTGTGGATGTTGAAGTGCAGAGTTGGTGGCCAGTGGCAAGCGCAGGACTTTATGGGCCTTGGAGTGCAGATTTCAGGCGCAGGACTTTTTGTGGACCTTGAAGTGCAGATTTCGTGGCAGGTGTAGTACTTTGGCCCTTGGAGTGCAGATTTCGTGGCAGGCGCTGGACTTTGTGGACCTTGAAGTGCAGATTTCGTGGCAGGTGCAGGACTTTGTGGCCCTTGGAGTGCAAATTTCGTGGCAGGCGCCGGACTTTGTGGACCTTGAAGTGCAGATTTCGTGGCAGGTGCAGGACTTTGTGTATGTGGAAGTGGAGAGTTGGTGGCAGGTGCAGGACTTTGTGGGCCTTGGAGTGCAGATTTCGTGGCAGGCGCAGGACCTTTTGATGTGGAAGTGTAGAGTTGGTGGCAGGTGTAGTACTTGGTGTGGATGTTGAACTGCAGATAGACAGATAGAAAGATAAATGGATCGATAGGTAGATAAACAGATAGAAAGATAGATAGATAGATAGAGAGATAGAGGAGGCATATTTGCTTGGTTATGAAATGATATGAAATGCAGATTTCGTGGCGCGGGGGGCGGCTGCCCCCGCCAGCAGCACACCAGATCCAAAGGTGAGCAGCTCGCGCTTGCTTGCTTGCTTCCTTGCTTGCTTCCTTCCTTGTTTGGTTTCGTCTCTGCAACGCAAACAAAAGGAAAAAGAAAAAACAAAAAGAGAAAGGAGAACAGCTGCGAGAAAGAAAGAAAGAAAGAAAGAAAAACAAATAGATAGACAGATAGATAGATAGATAGAGAAGTAGATATAGACAGATAGATGGATAGGCCAAAAAACCAAAAGCCACAAAAGCCACAGAAGCCACGAAAGCCAAAAGTCAAAAGCCACAGAAGCCACGAAAGCCAAAAGCCAGAAGCCACAGAAGCCAGAAGCCACGAAAAAAAAAATACATGGCCCTCCATATCGAATCCACGAAGGACCAGAGGACCAAGGGACCAGCGGACCAGTGGACCAGCGGTCTGCAAAAAAAACCAGAGGACCAGCGGACCAGAGGACCGGCCACCTACACGACTGGGAATCCAATGGGTTTCATCCCACAACGAATATGAAATAAAAAATGTTTCAGTAAAAAAAATGATTCGGTAAATATTTTTTATTGATTTGATAAGTATTTTTCTTGATACCTGACACCTATGCCCTCCGCACCCCCCTGGCGGCTGCAGCACAAAGAGCGAATTCATCAAGGCCAGCATGTGGCAGCACTGCTGCCACCGCCGCGCCGAAGCCAAAGCACTCAGAGTGGCATTGAAAGACACAAGGTCTGGGCGGAAAGCCTGAGATTCGTCCATGAAGGGCAGGATTGGATCGTGTGTTTAAATTACCGGGGGCTAGGTTTCCTGCCAGATTGATGAACATGGAATGTGCCTTACCAGTGGGGGTGTCCGGCAGCACTCTCACCACTGGGCCCCATATCCTTAAAGCCTACAACCAATGGGATGCCTTGAGTCCGACTTTCGCACGCAGTCCGCTCTCTATAGCCTTCGAATGCATAAACCAAAGGTATGCTGGGACTGTGGCGGCCTGATCTTGTAGTCGCTGGAGGATGCCCAAGGCCTTCATCCACAGATCCTTCTTCAGGACACTGATCGCGGCGTTGTACAAACCCACCTCATGGGCCGTGCTCAGCACGTCGCCCGAAGCGGTATGATTCCAAAGCCGCTTTTGAGGAAAGTGCTTGGACTTTCCAGCTGTTCGTGGTAAGTGGGGGAACCAGTCCCGAAAAAGATTGTCTACTATTGGCTGGGTCGGTTGTAGTTTTCCGCCTCCTTTGCGCGACCAATTGGACCTTGCATACCGGCGGGGTCTCCATACCTGCTGCCTGTGCCCCTTTTATGCTTCGCGTGGCCTTAATTGGTTTTGCCTTGGAAGACTTTGATGAACAACGAATGTGAACACCCACACATATATGTATTATATATATGATATATATATATATTATTCAGAATGAAGACTGTTTAAGACTATCTGTATATATTGAATTTATATGACTAATCTTAAAATTTCTATTTTTATGTACACATATTCCACATCAATGAAGTACATACATAGAGATTGGCTGCGACTGCGTGCAATCTTAGCAGCAAAGCCCCATGCCCCATGCTATGCTTGGCTATTCTTCAGCGAGCCCCTCAGACCTACAGCACATCAAACCTTCTCTTCTTGCGGCAGCTGAATCATTTCTGTAGGCAGAACTGCTTCTAGGTCAATTGCGTCCTTCTGGTAGAATTGGTCCTTTGTCAGTGGATCACAAGCAACATCAACATGTCGACTCGCACCAAGTACCCCTTGTTGGGCAAGCAAAGTTCACGTGATTAATGTATATTCATACGGTTCCAAGAGTCTTACATTTGCAAACTGGACGGGGCCCCGTTTATTTCACCAACAATGAATAAATTTATCCCCATGTCAATATCGTGCAGGGGGTCCTGTCATTGATTTTGTAGATATGAAATGGTGGGGCGCCCCCTGGAATATAAAATTACTGTCCAACCAAAATTGCATCTCTATAAAATGAGTGGACCGACCCCTTCAAAAAAGTCAGATACAAGCAAATAGAGGCCGTAATATGAGCAAACATAGGGAATGTTACAATCACAAATCAAAATTGCAAAATGTTCTTGCCCACATTGACGTGTGTGGTTTTTGTTTTCAGTGCGGTATCCGCTCCTTCCTCCTCCGCCTCCTCCTTCTCCTCCTCCCGCACCAAGAACCAACTGCCCTAATTGTCATCAACCAATTGCTACCCACCGCTTGTCATCAAAAAATTGCTAGCCACCACTTGTCATCAACCAATTGTCATCAACCAATTGTCATCAACCAATTGCTACCCACCACTTGTCATCAACCAATTGCCACCCACCAATTGTCACACAACCAATTTCCCCAATTGTCACCAACCAAATGTCACCAACCAATCACCAACCAATTGTCATCAACGAAGTGTCGCCAACCAATTATGATTTGCTTGCTAATTGTCTTCTCCAAGGGGGTGGGATGTACGCCCTGGCGCTCGCTGGCGCTGGTGGGTCTCCGCCGCTGTTCCGCTGTGATTTGCGTGCGAGGTGTTCAAAAACACTATGTTTTACAGTGTTTTGTGGGCGTGGAAGATCCACAATTTGGACAGTGGTGAATTGCAAAAACCGTTGGTTTTACAAGGGAGGTGTCGGTAATGCGCGCCGCCCGCGCGTGCATAATCGGATTTTTTTGAGTCATGGGCCCGTGTCAACGCAAATGGTGCAAAATGTACCCCAAGATGAGCCAACAAAGGCCCCCCAAGATAGGTCCAAGATATGTTAACATAGCCCCAGAGAGGGCACAACATAGGGCCAACATGGGCCCAAGATGGGCCAACAACAACAACAACAACAACTGGTGGGTGGCAATTGGTTGGCGTGACAATTGGTTGAGGATCATGTTTTTGAGAAAAACAGGCCCTCAAAAATAACCATTTCAGAAGGGCAGAGACCTACCGACCAGTTGTCACCAACCAACTCCCACCAACCAATTGTCACCAACCAATTGTCACCAACCAATTGCCACCAACTACTGTTCACCAACCAATTGTCATCAACCAATTGCCACCCACAATCAATTGCCACCCACCAATTGCTACCAACCAATTGCTACCAACTAATTGTCACCAACCAATTGCTACCAACCAGTTGTTACCAACTAATCGTCGTCAACCAGTTGTCATCAACCAATTGCCACCCACCAATTGCCACCAACAAACTGCCACCAACCAATTGCCACCAACCAATTGCCACCAGGAAATTGCCACCAACCAATTGCCACCAACCAGTTGCCACCAACAAACTTCCACCCACAAACTGCCACCAACCAACTGCCACCAACCAATTGTCACCCACCAACCACCAATTGTCCGCTCCTGTGTCTGGTGAAGTTGTGAACATGTGGGGTTATCCGGTCCTATAATGGCTTATGTTGTTTTGCAAAATTGTGAAGCCATGCAAAACCATAAGGAACCTTTAGGTCACCAGGTACAAAAACAAAAACTATAAATACAAAAAAACTGGTAAAGAATGGAAACTACCATTACAAGCAAGATCAAACAAGTCAATCTAATAGATTGGGTGTCTTTTTTGTAGCTTTTTGTGGGGCACACCACAGTCACCACACAGAGAGATGAAATATTATGAAAATATAGAGCATAGGGGGGTCAGCTCTAGTCATTTGATAGAGGTTTGGGGTGGTGTTGTGCTTTTTGAAGTGCACACAACACAGAGAGATGACATATGATGAAAATATAGAGCACAGGGGGGTCAGCCCCAGTCATTTTATCGAGGTTGGGGTTGCCTGCACCTAGCTCCTTAGAAAATGCATGAACATGCAAACCCAAGGAACCTGTAGGCCACCAGCTCCAAAAATACCAGTAAAGACCGGGGAAGACCACGAAAGAGCATTACAGAAGTGAAAATTTATGTAAATTTAGTAGATTTGGTGCCTTATCTGGGGTGCACACCATACAAAAAGATGAAACCTATTAAATTATGATGAAAACATAAAGCAGAGGGGTGGTCAGCCCTAGTCATTGTACAGAGGTTTGGGGGTATTTGGTGTCTTTCTGGAGTACACACCACAGAGAGAGATGACATATGATGAACATACAGAGGACAGGCGGGTTAGGACGAGTCATTTTATAGAGGTTTGGGGTTGCTTGCACCTAGCTCTCCTTAGAACATGCATGAGCATGCAAAGCCACAAGGAACCTTTAGGTCACCAGCTCCAAAAATACAGAAAAGACACAGAAAAACAATGAAAGATCATTATAGAAAAATAGACTAATTTTCATAAATTTAATGGATTTGGTGTCTTATCTGGGGTGCGCACCACACAGAAAGATAACATATTATGAAAATATACAGCAAAATTGAAAGCAGCGCTCTAACGCCCCCATTCCTCTATAAAATCATGATCCAACCCCCTCACCCGTGGGGGTCATATGTTACTTAAAAAAGCCTTGACCCCCCTCATTTCATGGAGGATATGGTCACGGGGATATGAATGCTTAAGAAACTACACTGTACAGGTTGTCACATGGTTGTCACCGATTTTTGATGGGGTTCTAAGATGTTCTAAGGCTTTGCCCTTGGCCCTTAATTCCCTAACGGGCAGCGTGGTGTTCGGAAATCAAATGGTTAGTTTCAGCAACTGCGAAGGTAGGTTTCAGAAACTGCGTTGCGCATGCCACGGACGTCATATCCCTGGCCCCACCCTCCCCAATGTCCATTGCAAAGCCGACCAGGACAGTTGCTGAAACCGACAAAAGCCAGTTGCTGAAACCGACTTAAAAACCAGGGCTTTAACCGACAAAGCCAGGTGTTGAAACCGACCAAGCCACTTGCTGAAACCGACAGAACCCGTTTCTGAAACCGACAAAGCCAGTTGCTAAAGCCGACAAAACCCAGTTGCCGAAACCGACAAAAAACCAGCTGTTGAAACCGACAAAGCCAGTTGTTGAAACCGACAA